ACACACACACACACACACACACACACACACACACACACACACACACAGGGAATGCCAGTGGAAATGATCTGTATCAGACACATACTGCTGACTCAGGAGAAGCTGCTGAAAGGTCCAACAGTTACCCAAACAGACATGGAGTTTAAACTGTCAATTTAAAATATGTCAAACATTGGAGCTTTTTAATGGTTATACATTCTGAATATATTAGATTATATATCATTTGCTGTATCAAATGATAAACATACAGTATAGCTGCATATTGTAAGTATGAAAATACTGTTTTAACATGTGGATATATCCAGATATACTAATAAAATACTTGTGAAGTGCATGAAAAGAAGCCTGGGGTCAAAAGGACTGGGGGTGGCCAAACTACGGTCCACGAGCCAACTGCGGCCCGCTGCCCGTTTTAAAATGGCCCCTCGTCATTTTTTAATAATCTAGAAAGTAGCTTGAACATATTTTGAATAAATTGCACTGTATATTCAGGTCCTGTTCGTGATTTTCATGGACAGGATATCTAGGCGCAGCCTGGGGGCGGAGAACATCAGTTTCGGGGGTCTCGGGATCGCCTCTCTGCTATTTGCAGATGATGTGGTCCTGTTAGCCTCCTCGGATCATGACCTCCAGCATTCACTGGGGCGGTTTGCAGCCGAGTGTGAAGCGGCGGGGATGAGAGTTAGCACCTCCAAATCTGAGGCCATGGTGCTCTGCCGGAGCACCATGGCCGGTGGGGACGGAGTGTCTACCTCAAGCGAAGGAGTTCAAGTATCTCGGGGTCTTGTTCACGAGTGAGGGTAAGATGGAGCGGGAGATCGACAGACGGATCGGTGCGGCTGCAGCAGTAAAGCAGGCGCTGTACCGGACCGTCTTGGTGAAGAGGGAGCTGAGCCGGAAGGCAAAGCTCTCAATTTACCACTCGGTCTACGTTCCTACCCTCACCTATGGTCACGAACTCTGGGTCGTGACCGAAAGGACAAGGTCGCGGCTACAAGCGGCCGAAATGAGTTTCCTCCGTAGGGTGGCCGGGCTCAGCCTTAGAGATAGGGTAAGGAGCTCGGTCATCAGGAGGGAGCTTGGAGTAGAGCCGCTACTCCTTTGCGTCGAAAGGAGTCAGCTGAGGTGGTTCGGGCATCTAATTAGGATGCCTCCTGGACGCCTCCCACTGGAGGTTTTCCAGGCACGTCCAACTGGGAAGAGACCCCGGGGCTGGAGAGATTACATCTCCCAGCTGGCCTGGGAACGCCTCGGGATCCCCCAGAATGAGCTGGAACATGTTGCCGGTGAGAGGGAGGTCTGGGTCAGCCTGCTTGGCCTGCTGCCACCGCGACCCGACCCTGGATAAGCGGTGGAAAATGGATGGATGGATGGATGTATATTCAGCACACATCCTAGTTGAAACTGACTTTACTGACTCAGTGTATTGGCACAGATGGCAGTATCTTCCCTGTTCCGTTTGTTACACCTTGATGTCAGACATACAGATTTAAATCTTACATTTACATGTATCTTGTTAAATTTGAACTGGACACTTAGGCCATGCACTGTATTAGAGTTTAAGTATTGTATTGAATTCATTTAAATCCAATGTTACAGCAGCGAATACAACATGACCTTTCATAATATGTGGGAAAACCAATACATGACTATAACGTCAAACTGTTTCGTGCTGTTGTGTAGTTATTTTGATTGAAACACAGATTTTCTGCAGTGTTAACTGGTTGAATATTTACTTCTGTTTGGCCCTTGACTCCTTACATTTGTCTGTAAATGGCCGACGATCAAGAGTTTTGGCCGACCCTGGACTAACACTGGAGTGACTAGTCTAGTGGGAGCTAAATGATCTGGAGCTTCACAGGGCAGACCTAAAGAGATCTGTCTCACCTGTCTACATCCCTTGCTTATGCTGTCAGAACCACCGCAAAGCAGCCGGCCCAGACTCTGTCTCCCCCTCCATCCTGAAGCATTGTGCTGATCAGCTGTCTCCGGTGTTTACAGACATCTTCAACACCTCACTGAAACATGTCACATACCAGCCTGCTTCAACACCTCCACCATCATCCCCGTCCCCAAAAAACCAAGGATCACAGGACTAAATGACTACAGGCCCGTCGCCCTGACCTCTGTGGTTATGAAGTCTTTTGAGCGCCTGGTCCTGTCCCATCTAAAAACCCTCACGACCCACGCCTGGACCCCCTGCAGTTCGCCTACAGAGCCAACAGATCTGTAGACAATGCAGTCAACTTGGCCCTTCACTTCATCCTCCAGCATCTGGACTCCCCAGGAACCTACGCCAGGATCCTGTTTGTGGACTTCAGCTCTGCTTTCAACACCATCATCTATGCAGCAGGACAAGCTCTCCCAGCTGCACGTGCCCGACTCCACCTGCAGGTGGATCATTGACTTCCTGTTTGACAGGAAGCAGCACGTCAAGCTGGGAAAACTGTCACAGTTCAGCTCCACACCCTCCTCATTCTTCTTGTCAGTCACTCCCTCCTCATCAGTCTAAACTCCCTTCACCTGTTCACTCACCTGCCTCTGATCAGTAATCAAGCCCCTATATAGACTCCTGCCTTCCAGACACATTTGCCAGATTGTTCTTCGGTTTTTCCATACCAGACTCTCCAGCACGCTCCCACGGATTGATCGCCTGTTCTCGACCCTGCCTGCCCCTGTTCTACCCGCCTTGCCTGACTCCCGGTAAACCCACCAGCCTTCTGATCCTGACTCTGATTAAACTCTGCCTGCTGTATCTGGAGGTTTGCAATAAAGCCAAAGATCCCTGGAATCTGGTGTGTTGCATTTGGGTCCATATACAACCCGTTACAAAAACACGTCTCAGCCTCCCGGACCATCAGCACCGGTTCCCCCCAAGGCTGCGTTCTTTCCCCTCTGCTCTTCTCCCTGTACACCAACAGCTGCACCTCCAGTCACCAGTCCGTCAAGCTCCTGAAGT